AGTGCTCTACCACTTTGAGCCACAGCTCCACTTCCAGTATTATAGTGGTTAATTGGAGTTAAGAGTCTCATGGACTTTCCTGCCTGGGCTTGGCTTTGAACTATGTTCCTTATATCTCACCCTACTAGCTAGGATGAGCCACCAGCACCTGGCTTGCCTGTTCATTTTTTAATTTTTTTGCCAGTCTTAGGGCTTGAACTCAGGGCTTGGGCACTGTCCCTGAGCTGCTTTTGCTCAAGGCTAGCACTCTACCATTTGGGCTACAGTACCATTTTTCGAACCCAGGGCTTCATGAATATTAGGAAAGCACTCTACCACTAAACTACATTCCCAGCCCTGCCTGATTTTGTTTGTTAACCTGTGTGGTTTGATTTCCTTGGCACTCCCTGACCTTTCTCAGCTGTGCTTCGGGTCTGGGGAGTTCACAGGTGTACCCCCAGCCCTTTGCTACTTGACTTCCCCTCCGAGCTACCCCACCCCCACCCCTGCCCTCCGCACCTGTAGACAAGGATGTCATCGGCCGAGCTGTTGTACTGGATCTGATACATGCGGATGCCTGGGATGGGCCTCTGATCCGGCCACTGCACTAGAGCCGCGGTGGCCCCGTGCTCAGTCACCTGGACGCCGCGGTCAGTAGGCGGCACCGTGTCGGCCACCTTGGCCGAGGCAGAGGCGGCAGACGGCGGGGTGAGGGCATCAGGATCCCCGTCCCGCGGGGGGTCGCAGCTGGTGCTATTGGCTAGCTGAGGGGGTGGCGGGGGCCCCACGGTCAGCTCCACAGCCGCTGTGGCCTCACCAGCCGCATTAGCAGCAATGCAGGTGAACACACCGCCATCGCCCGGTTCAGTGACTAGCAGCTCCAGCGTTCCATTAGGGAAGGCCCGGGCCCGGCTGGAGTTGCCCAGCAAGCGGCCTTGGGGTGACACCCATCGTACTCGGGGCTCTGGATCCCCAACTGCCCGGCAGCGCAGGGCAGCTGGCCGGCCTGCGGGTACAGCCAGAGGGGGCGATCGGTGGGTCACCACGGGGGGTTCACATACAAATTCTTCCTCTCCCACTGCCCAGAAGTAGCGGCCTCCCAGAGCCGGGGGTGAGGCACAAGCTTCGAGATCGTCCTCCCGGGCCAGGCGCCGCAGCCACACCAACTCACAATTGCAGTGGAGAGGGTTGCCACCAAAGGCCAGCACTAGGGCCGAGGCCGGTGAACCCCGGGGCCTGGCCAGCAAGGGTAGACGGGAGAAGAGAGGATCCGGCGGGATGGTGGTCAAACGATTAGAGGTCATGTCCAGCCGGGCCAGCTTGTGGAGGCGGGAAAAGGCTCCAGCAGGCACAGAAGCCAACAGATTATGATCGAGGCCCAACGTATTGACGTTGCCCAGGCGGCCCAAAGCCTCCCAAGGTAGCTGCTCCAGGTTGTTGTAAGAAAGATCGAGATCCTCCAGCGTCTCAGCGCAGTCGTCCAAGGCACCAGCCGCCAGGGCTGCCAACTGATTGTTGCTCAGGATGAGGTGGCGCAAGTTAACCAGGCCACGCAGCTGCCCCTCGCCCAGCGAGGTCAGCCGGTTCCCATCTAAGTGCAGAGCGCGCAGGGCCCGGAGATCGGCGAAGGCACCGGCTGCCACATGGCGGATGGTGTTTCGGGACAGGCTCAGATGGAGCAGGCCCGTCATGTTGGCCAAATCTCGGCGCCGGACTGAGGCGATGAAGTTGTCCGCTAGGCGCAGCTCGGCTGCCCGGCGATCCAGGGTTGGAGGCACGAACAGGAGGCCTGCCCCTGGACACAGCACGCTTAAGGGCAGCGACTGGGTCTGGCAACGGCAGCGGCGGGGACACGGGCTGGATGTGGCTGGCTGAGGTGGAGCTGAGGCAGGGGCCAGCGGGAGCAGGCAAAGAAGCAATGGAAAGACGGCCATCGCGGGCAGGGGCGGCCTACAGGGAAGAGGAAAGGTGTTTAGGGCTGGTTGAGGCCAGAGAGGGAGGCCCCATAGAAGGTTAGGGTGGCCTGAGACCCTGTGAGAAGATGCTAAGGACAGAAGGCCCTGTCTGAAATCAGGAGAGGAGAGGTGGTCATATATGGATTTTGCTTTGGTACTGTTCCTGGGGCTTGAACTCAGGGCCTGGGCGCTACCCCTGAGCTTTTCTTCTCAAGGCAAATGTTCTCCCACTTGAGCCACAGCTCCACTTCTGGCTTTTTGAGTGGTTATTTGGAGATATGAGTCTCACAGACTTTGCTGCTCAGGCTGGCTTTGAGCTGTGATCTTCAGATCTCAGCCTCCTGAGTAGCTAGGATGACAGGCGTGAGCCACTGGTGCCTGGCTCAGAGAAGATAGTCTAATACTCAGATGTGTCATGAAGTCCCAGAGGGAACAGAATGAGCCAGTAAATGGGAAGGGAAGTAGCTAAAGACAGGCACAGATGGGCAGAAAATAGAAGGGCTGTCCGGGTGGGCCCTGGTGGCTCACACCTGTCATCCTAGCTACTCAGGAGGCTGAGATCTGGTTGATTGCAGTTCCAAGCCAGCCTAGTCTGCTCACAGACTGGGATTATCTCCGATGATCCACAAAAAAAAAAGAAAAGAAAAAAAAAAGCCAGAAGAGGTGTGGCTCAAGTGGTAGAGTGCCAGCCTTAAGCAAAAAAGCTAGGGGACAGTGACCAGGCCCTGAGTTCAAGCCCCAGTATTGAAAACGAAAAAAAAAAAAAAAGAGGTGGCCAGACCTGGTCAAGAGAAAAGACAATATGAGAAGCACTGAGAGATCAGGACAGCTGGGGAGGATACAGGGTGTGGAGAGGAGAAACGGCAGAAGCGATCAGAAGAACAATGAGCCAGAGGAGAGGAAAGGCTGGAGACGGTCAGATGGCTGTGGACAGGGGTAAAAGAAGGGCCACAGACGGAAGGTGGAAGATGTTCCAAGAGGGAGAATGTGGACAGAGACGGCGGCAGGGAGGGGAAGGTGGGAAAAGGGCAGCAGAGGACAGGGGTGGACGAGAGCGATGACTGAGGGGATGGATGACAAGAAGCAGCAAGGGGTGGTGGTGTCAGAGACCTGGAGAGGACATGAAGTGGGAGATTGACGAGGTCAGAGAATGGCCGAGCCGGCCACCTATCCCAAGGGCTAGAGGCACGCCCCTTGGGGAGTGTCTTTTTCTAGGGAAAACCCCAAGAGTGCCAAAGAGAACCTGGCCCTCATCTTACCTTCACCTCCACCCCCAGCCGCAAAGCTCCTCCCCAACCCCTCCCCACCTCCATGGAGGTCTCACAATGGCCTTACCTGAGTTGGAAGCCACCCCTGGGGGGAAGCAGAGTCCTCAGGCTCCAAGGGGGTCAGAGGTCAGGGCTCTGTGGCCAGCCGGGGACATCAGAACCGCCCTTCCTCATCCCCAAAGCCTCTGCAGAGGGAGTGTGGTGTCTTGCTTAAAAAAATCTGTGTTCACGGAGTCTCCAGATTCTGATACTTAGGGTTCCAGACTTCCAAATGTGGGATCCTCTAAGGGTCCAGTTTGAGATAGCCAGGTCCTAGTTTGGGTTATTCAGGGTCAAATCTCCCCAGCTTCAGTCTTGCAATGTCCAGAAACCAAAAAAAGGAAATTGAAGGTATGAGTCCCAAGTCCAATCCTGCAATTTGATAACTGGGACTCTGCGTTCAGATATTGGGGTGCTCAATCAAAATGTGGAGGTCTCTAACTGTAGATTTGGGTCTGCAGCAAGGACTTCTCTGGTCTACATTTAGGTGAAGGCCCCCTTGGAAGTCCTGCATTCAGATTTTGGAATCTGAGGCCTAAATCTCAGGGTTCAGTTGCCAAAGAGTGGGTTTCCAGGGTATAGATTTGGAAATCAAGTCCCAGATTCCAAGGTGCCAAGCCAGGCTGAGAATTCAGAGTTCAGCTCCAAATCTGGGTAGGGGATCAACTCAGGTATCATCAAATCCTGGGGTTCCAGCTCCAAATCTTGGGGTCCATGCTGTCAATGATGGAATTCGGTTGCCAAATCTTGGGGAGGGGGCAGGGTAGAGGGAGTCCTATGGGCTGATGTGGAGATTCTAACCCCAGACACTGACTGGGGTTCGGGGTCCGGGTCTTGGTGGGGAGGGAGGGTCCCAACAGCAGGATCTCAGGGTGGCTTGGCTGGTCTCGGGTCAGGCTTCTCAGGCTGGTCCAGATCTCTTCATCCAATCTCGGGGTGCAAGACCCTGATGTCGAGGTGCAAGGCCCAACGCGGCTGGCTTCCCTGGCCGTGGCGGAGGAGGGGCCTAGCTCAGAAAGGAGGAGAGGGGGGATCCGAAGCGGCGGTGGGCAGAGGGGAGGGCACACGGGCCGGCGCCAGGCCCGGTGGGGCGAGGCCTGGGCGCGGGTGGATGGATGGATGGACGGATGGAAGGACGGACGGACGGACGGACGGACGGATGGATGGACAGACGGACTGTCAGACACGCACACGCGGGCGGGATGGGG